TGCTCCACTCTGGCCAATGCAGAGCCTAGCAGAGCCCCAGATCTAACTCATGTAAGATCTGCTAGGGCCATGGAAGTGGAAAGATCATTCCTGTGACAAGGAACATTCAGGAATGCTCCAGAGTCCCCCACCCCAATCTGTGGCTGCAGGGTGAGCACAGCTCCGTGGAGCTGTCGGTGCTTACCCAGCCCTGAGCAGCACAGGCTGACAAGCTCCTGCAGCACAGCCAGCTCTCCAGAGCTCTGCACTTCAGCAGGGAATCAGTTTGGCTGCTACCCCTGTGGTTTCCAGGAAGGCCAGGGCTCTCCAGGGAAAGACAAGGCTGGTGTGGTTCTTGTGCATAAGTACAGAAACACTGGCTTTCTCTAGAAACTCTTATTGACCCTGCCATCTCCTGAGAGTCCCAAACAGTGTTCTGCTGCCACTGCCACACCTCATTACTTTCCCTATGGTGAACTCCTCTGACCCACCTGAGGCAGAAAATCTGTACAGAAATTGTAACAAGGCTAATTCCTTTCACTTGTGGTTGTATAGATGAACATGTTAATAACTGGAAAGGTGACTGCAGCTGTGTCTCTTTTCAGATGTGAGATGTGATCCTCCTTTAGAAATTGCTGGTGGTACCATTGATGGTATTAGAAAGTCCAAGTATATGCCTGGAGAGAGTGCAAAGTATCAGTGCTGGAAAAATTTTAAGATGACTGGGCCTTCTACTGTAGTGTGCAAAAATGGGACCTGGACAGAGCTGCCAACATGCAAAGGTAACTTCTCTCTGTCTCCCTCTCTCTCCATCCAGCCTCCTGTCAGCGATAGCATCATGAAGCTGCCTCATTGTCATTTAGCATCTCAGTGCCCTCATTGTGCACAGCTGCCATGGCTCTGGCACACTCAGGACAAGGCAGGCCATTCCCCAGGTCTCTGTTCAGATGGGATGAATTTACCAAGCCGAGGGACTCAGGTGGCTTCACTCAAGAGGGCCAAGTGCCACACCTTATGCAGGACAAGATGAAATCCTGCAGACAACTGCAAGCACTTAAGCTGTGCTCAGAGGGAGTGAGCTGGCAGTTGTGAGCCTGAACTTTGGAGAAATGAGAAACTCTTGCTCCTGGCAGCTGTTTGGTTCTCTCTCTGCTTTACTCCACTTCTCCACCCAACATAGTGTGGGTGGTATAATTGACCAGACCTTCTCTGCAGTTGAACTTCCTCTCTGATTGGGAAATTTCTTTCAGGACGACCTGGGAGATGTGGCACACCTCCAGCTATTCAAAGTGGAGAGCTTCTTCTCTTCCCCTTGCCAGAATATAAAGAAGGTGATACTGTGGAGTACAAATGCCCAAATTTCTATATCCTGAAAGGATCTCCGAGAATCACCTGTCGCAATGGGCAGTGGACAGACCCCCCAGTTTGCCTAGGTAGGTTGAAGCATGTGCTGGGTGGCCAAAGGCTGTGTGATTGCTCCTCTTGTCTTCTTCTGAGACCCTGAGGACAGCACTGGTGCTGGGACCAAAATGCTGGCAGGGAAGAATGGCAGTGAGTCCTCCTTTTGTCTCAAAGGAGATTCTGCTAAAATTCGGCTTGTGGGCTGGGGTCATGGCTCCACCCAGCAGGCAGTGAGCCAGGAGAATGGGTCTGAATGAGTGGCAGTGCTGGGAAAAGCCAGGGGTGCCTCCGTGACGAGAAAACAAATTTAGAGAAGTACAAAGCAGAAGGGAAGGAGGGATCTCTCAAAAATATATATAGGGAAGTTCATTGGTGTTTGGTGTCTTCCCCACCTGTGCTTCATTCTTGCCCTGTGTGACTGACAGTGTGACAAGGCTTCTCCCAAGGCTTTTTTCTTTCCTTTAGCTTGGATGTGAATGTCTTTTCTGTTGCAAGTAACAGAGGGTCAGAGTACACTTGGAAGCGTTTTTGATGTGAAGGACTTCTGTAGGCTCTAGGGGCAAAGCATGTGGTGTGTCTGTATGAAGTATTGACACTCTTCTCTTGACTTTTTCAAGTGGCCTGTACAGCATCAAAGGAAGATATGGACAGAAACAATATTGAGCTGAAATGGCGTCACCAAGCCAAGCTGTACTCCACATCGGGTGACTTTATTGAATTCCAGTGTAAATGGGGATATTTGGAACATCCAAGTAGTCCCGACTTCAGAGTCCAGTGTGTGGAGGGGACGTTGAACTACCCATTCTGCACACTGGGAAGTAAGTCATCCCCTCTTTGCCTTTGCTGCTCTGTTGATGCATTTTTAGTGCTGAAGGGAAGCAGAAAGCCCTTGGCTTTTCTGGCTGTGAGCCAGGGTGTGGGAGCTGCAGGAATAGAGGGGCAGTGCACCCAGGAAGTCATTGCCCAGCACACCTGAGCTGGGGAAAGGGTACTTGGGGCACTCACAGGGGGTGCCAACAGAGCATGAGTTGTCCAGTGTGAGATCTACAGGCAAATAACAGAATTCTTTTTCTGCAGACAACTGTTTTCTGGACAAGAGCATTATGGAAGAGAAAAACATTCAGTTGCAGTCACCCAGGGAGTCAAGCCCTCACTATGGCTCAGGGGACCCTATTGTGTTTGAGTGCAAGCCCGGCTTCCGGCCGGTTTCCCAGAGCAAGAAATTCAGCACCAAGTGCCTGGATGGAGTGATTCCATATCCTACGTGTCAGTGTAAGTGCTTGCTGCCAAAGACATGGGGCATGGGCTGTAGGAGGCAGTTCTGGTGAAATTTCCTGTTCACTGCTCTGAGGAGCCCCTGGGGTCTGTCAGGATTGGTGTTGATGCCTTTTCCCCTTTTTTTCTCCTTACACAGAATTGTCGTTGTTTGGGTAAAAGGAAATGACATGAGAGAGCCCAGCTGTGGCAATGACAGAGCCCTCAACCAATCTACTGACTTGAGCTCAACTTTTCCTGGTGTTTCCCATTTTGCTGTGCATTGTTTGCAGCTTAGCCAATGTTCTGTCTTGGAATTTGTTCTTGTTTTTATTACTGGATGGTTGTCTTTGCCTATTATCCACATTAGATCTAGTTTTGTAAATGTATTTACATTTTATGCAGACAAAGGGTTGTGCTTATATTTTATCTATTCTATCCTGATCTCACTGTTATTTTATTAACAATTGTGGCCTGAAAACAGGCTGGCTTTGGTGGCATACTGAGACAAGAATTAAAGCTGACAGTTAATTTGATTATCAGCACACAAAGCATATTTGGCCTTGTCTATTCCTACTTTCTTCTCCATGCACTTGCTTGGAAATGAGTCTGGGGTGTGTGTCCTGAGTGCCTGAGCAGAAAGAGCAAGTAATGGAGTCTCCTTTGAACAGCTTAAGGCAGTCTCTAGCCAGAACCAGTTTTTCTGGAAGACTTGCCTGCAAAGGCAAGATTTTGGGGTGCAAGTGATAGGGATAGGGGGAAGGTGGAGACTAATTCCTGATCCAGGTCCTGGACAGGCTAGTCTGTGCCACCCCCAGCCCATCTGCCCTTCACAAAAAATCAGTGGCAGCCTGGCTGTGGCAGCCATGTGCTAATGCACTCCTTGATTCAGAAGAGAGAAAAAAGCAAATACCAGAGTACAAATGCTACACCTTAGGGGAACAGACTTCCACTTATTTAGGAAAACAGGAGTCCAGAAAAGCTTATAGGTCTTGAAGTACAGAATCCTGCAAGCACAAGATTACTCAGTTCTCATCTTCAGGAGGAAAATCACATTTACCTAGACTGACTTATCTCATCAGAGACAGCACAGAGATCTCTGAAGCAGAAAAAAAAATCAACGTACAGGGGATTGAGGCAAAAACAGGCTCCAAGGTGAGCTGTCCATGGCATTGATGTGGCATGTATGGATAATGATAGAAAAGCTGAAGCTCAAAGTGGCACTTACAAGGGACTTTAAAGGTCGCAAGAAGGTATTCTGTTGCTACACTAGGATTAAAACAATCAATAAGAAAATGTGGCATGTCACTAAAACAGGTAGGTGGGGCAGCAGCCCCACATGTAGCTTGAATATTTGATATGTTCTTTGCCTCAAAGTTCATCAACAAGATGCTGCCTTCATGTCTGCAATGCCCCTCATCCTGTCCTCTGGTTACAGCCACACAGCCAGTGTTGTGTGTACATCCAGAACAAGTGATGGGTGAATGAATTCTACTTCCAACAGCTGTTCCAGCAAGGGCCTTTTAATCCCTTTTGCTCCAGTTTGCTCTGTAAGAAGAAGGTTATTGCTGTATATGTACTGTGTAAAGTATTTTTATCAACCTTTTTTCCACCTATTGGTCGGCTGGGCTCTGACTAAATAAGCAGAATTTGTCTATTCCAGAATGCTTTAATTTCTTTTTTTGTCTTATTCATTAGTGTAACTCTTGCAAAAGCTTTGGAAGCCATACAGAGCATCATATATGGTATGATTTCACAGACAGATGAGTTTAGACATGAAAGACAGAAGACACCTTAGAATGGCTTTTTTATTAAATCAGACTAAAATGGATGCAAGGCAAACTTTGTCCATATTCCTGGATTTTCTTCATAGCTGTAGTCACACTTGTTCTCAGGCAGACCCTTAAGACTATCAATATTTAAGTGTCATAGGAAATCGTATCAAGTATACTTGGATTTTAATATTCTTAAAATAGGTTTTAAAAAAAATTAACTTCTCAGTCAATTTGTATAGTTTTAGGTTTTAAGTAAATTTTACAGATCCCTTAAGAACTTTATTTTCTGTTTTATATTGTTCCTCAAGTTCAGTCCTTTAGAGGCTCCTTACCTGTGAAGGGAGACATGAGTGCTGTTAAGATGTACAAGTCCTTCCTCCAGCTTTTTCAATGTGTATGCTAATATTGCATCCCTGTGCTGCACTGCTCATCCTCATCCCACAAAGGCCTTTCCCTTCCATCCCCCTCCAGCTCAAACTCAACACTCATTTCCCAAAGCTGAGTGGAGCAACCTGGAGAACACAAGGCCACCCTAATTCACCTGCTTATAAGAGATAAAGAACACATACATACCTTTCCTATGGCCTTTCCTCAAGTCCATACTTGCATTTCTCTTTCAACACACCTTGGATATGCCAGCTGTCCTCTCTCACACTGTACTTGAAATAAAGTTGTGCCAGATTCTGCTCCAAAATGGTTCTGTTTGCAGTAAAATCCAACATAATCCCCATGGTAAAAGTAAACTTGGTCTGCATAGAATGCTTGCAGCAGCACATTATTTTTCTCCATTTCAGTTTTTGACAAAGTACACGGCTCTAAAAAAGAGAGACTTGATCACTGCTAATAAATTGATTCTTTTTTGAACAGACTATTTTGACCAGGCTACACTAAAACTGCTAATTATTTCCTATTGTCTTATTTAGTGCAGGCATACTATAGTTAAGGAAATAACACCAGATGAGCTTAACTTGCTTCTATTTAAACTTTCATATGTCATTTGAAGACGCTGAAATTGAGACTTAAAAGTTCTGGCTGACAATACTCAATTTATAAATTATAAGGATCTGATTTTAGAGACAATTGGGGTTGTTCAGCCTGGCAAAAAGAAGGATCCAGGGAGACCTCATTGCACCCTTCCAGAGCATAAAAGAAGAAGATCCTATAAGAAAGAGACAGACTTTTCAGTATGGCCTGGAGCAGTAGGACGAGGGGTTATGGTTTTAAACTACAAGAGGATAAATTCAGCCTAGACATAAGGAAGTCATTACCACCAGTGAGAAGGGGAAAACATGGGAACAGTTTCCCCTATTTTCCCTTTTCCCAGAAAGTATTTGTTACTTTGTTTGTTTCCCTTGGGAAAGTCCAAGGTCAGGCTGGACAGGGCTCTGAGCAGCCCTGCTCATTGCAGGGGATTGGACCAGATGGCCCTTCCAGGTCACTCCCAGGCTGTTCCTTGAGGCTATGAATTCTATATAGAAATAAGTGCTTCTTTATCTTGTTTATCACACCTACCTATACAAACTGGAGGTGAGGTCCATTGTCCTTCAGAGCAGTAGATTCTCTCAGAGCCTTGCAAAAAATGATAGTCAGAGCAAATATACTGAACTGAAGAGCCACTATCATACTGGGGCAGTGCTGGGACAGTCAGAGCTCCATTTGCAATAGAGGGTGGAGAGCCACATTTTTCTGTAGCAGCTGCAACAACAATAAAAACATTTAAGAATAAGAAACGAACAAATTGGCTGCTTTATCAAAAATTAAATGAACATGAAGGTTTTCTTTTTACAGCTCTCTTTCTACAGAGCTTTCAGTTTTCCGGGCTCAGAGCAGAGCTTCCCCCTCCCTTCTACAGCCTTGCACAGCAAAGGGAGGTGTATCACTTTTCCAAGCTTGGCTATATTCAACAATAGAGTTGCCTTGTGCATCTGTATTGTTGAAGCCTAAACACTCATTATTTACAACAGGCTCCAGGCCCACACTAAAAGCAAATCAAATAATTTCTAAATAGGTCTAAGATGATTGATTAATTAAAAATGCAATAAAAAAAATTATTGCTTTACCTTGAATAACACATTTTGGATAATTCAGTCTGCCTTGGTTACACTGTGTCCTCCCAGGAGATGGAATGGCAGTCTGGAGAAAACTATATCCCTGTTTACATTCAAACTCTATGAGATCTCCATGGAGGAAAACTAATTCTTCCCGTCTCCATTTCAATGTTAAGTTGTTGCTGTCCATATCAGTTACATTCAGAGTACACGGTTCTGGGAAATAAAAATGTATTTTAATAAGGAGCCACCTTAACTGGTTTCTTAGCTCCCTTTTGTAGGAGTGAAGAAAGAACCCCATGTCAATAATTCTAAAATGCTTCTGAATTTTGCAAGACAAAGAACTACAGATGCATAGAAAAATGCAAATGAAAGAAAATGTCTGAAGTGACAACAAAAACCAAATACATGCAAAAGGAATGGCTGCTTTCTGACAGGTTCTTAAAACCCAGTGCCAGGATCACATCAGAGAGTCTAGCTTTCCATTAGATGATTAATCTCATTAACTTCTGAAACCACTGTTCACCATCAATAAAGCCTACAAAATAAATTTCTACAAGTTCCATGAGAATCACTGGCTGATAAAGACCCTTATTGATGCTTTGCTGAGGGAAAGGCAAGGAGAACTCAGTTATTGGCAGTCTGGTGACAGCAGGGTAACACCAAATTCCCGTGGAATTTTCCTGAAGCTCAGTGTAACACCAAACTCCCATGGAATTTTCCTGAAGCTAACATCAGCATGTGCTCCTTCTGGTCTGTTTAGGTGAGTGTATAAAAGAAATCTCAAAAACATGCAAAGGATGATGGGCTTATTGGGATGCTAATGAGACAAATAATGCTCACAGGAAGTGAGATTTCATTATTTCACAGGATTTCTTAAATTTGAGTACTCGGATCCAAAAATTTCAGTCTAGATGAGGTAACTTCTGTTCATTTAGAAATATGCAATTAGAACTGAACTGATTGTGTATTTTCATTTTCATGGTAGATTACAAACTGAAAGGTGAGCCAATTTAACACAGGATGTTAGTAAAATTTAATTGTTTCATTAGAGGAAGGAAGGAAGGAAAGATAAACAAACAACTCTTGTTTGTATTCCTGCTAGCACTGGTAATTTTCTCCAGGGGGTTCTATACATTGTTTTGAGCAGCATACATAAAAGCAGCACAGGAAAATGTGAAAGTCCATGCCAGCATGAAACAACAGATATAAAGACACATAATTAAAAAAAAAAAAAAAGCCTGAAAGTTTAAAAACAAAAGTCCAAGAAGCCATCGCTAATTCTTTGTTAATTGTATCTAAAAGCAATTTTGGGAATGGCTACACCATTCCTTCTAATCATCTATTGAAAGACAGGAAGAAATTATCTGAATGGACAATATGGAGGAAAGAAATTGGAGAATCCTCCCAGGAAACAGGAATAGCTATATACTAGAATAGCTCATTCAGGAAACAGAGGAATCTATTTAATTGGCTGGTTTTAAAAACAGGCCAGAGGATACCCAGCAGGAGAGGCCTGCTAAAAATTTAATTTTGGTTCATCCTCATATTTCTGGAATCTTTATTAACTCCAACAAAAGAGGAAAGATGGTAATGAAAAGATTATTTAGAGGTTCCTTCCAATTTTCCCTTTTTATACTACATATGACAATGTAATTTGTAATTTTCCTTCCAAGATTCACCTAAGCAGGTTGGTTGTTCTGTCCAGTTTCCTTGGTGACAATAAACAGTGCTGGGCCCATCCAAAAAGTGGTAATGCTGACAAACATATTCTACCCAGGAACCATTTTTGTAACTTGCCAGTACTGGGCCCAGGACAGCACCATTTTTAATCACAGGTGGAGATGCACAGTCTTGCTGCATTTCTAATATGGGATAGAGAGAGAGGCAATTAAGTCTTGATTAGATTACAACATTGTTAACACAGGTGAAAGTATAAGACCAATACTAGACTGAGCAAACAAATTTGCAAACAAATAGAATCCAAACCAATACAATTCCTTTTCCAGGTTTCATTTGTGGAAACTCTACACTTGACTTTCTGAATTTTAGACATGCATTTTATTTCCCTCTACACTTTACATCTATGCCTATTTTTGACTCTTGCTTCTTTACACTCAATACAGTTTAATTCTTTTTATGTGATGTAGACCATCTTATTTGTTACTTTAAATGTTTCATCTATGAGTGGTTCAAAAAAACCCTCATTGTAAATATTAATCAAGGAACAACAAAATACTCATGAAGCTGCATGTCCAAATAATACTAAAGAGTACAAAATGACTGAATATAAATGCTCTGTATGAAATAAAATTACAAATACACAGCAGGCTTACTGGTGTAATTAAGAAAAAAGCAACAATAGCCTTTTATTTATTGGCTACATTGACATCTGTTGCCCATGCAAGCATTTTCAAGAATAAGGGACTGTCCTATAGCAAAAGAATAAAAGTAGTCATAAAATGCCTAAAATTGGATTGGAGAGTCCCTTTTAAATAGAAGAGCAATGTTCACCTACTCATATCATCTTCATTGTGATGTGTTTGGTTTGCCTTTGTTTCTGCATCTGCCTCAAGTGGTGGTGGTGCTGTCCCAGATTCCTGGTTATCCACAGCTTCTGTAACCATAGCAGAGACTCAGAACCAGTTGTCACAGAAACAGCTCATTCTAAAGTACTAAAACAGGCAGACATGATGCACTCCAAAATGTAATAATCCCAGTTTTCCAGGGAAGATGTTACAGGTGGCAGCTGAATTCACCCAGCTGATCCTTTTAATCTGGGAACCACGGACTGCCTGTAAAATGTGCAGCACTTTGTCTCTCAAGCCTTTTAAGAGAGGAAGGATAACAGTTTTGCAGATATAGCAAGTGAGACTCTCCAGAAAATTAAGGCATGGGTTGAAGAATCATTTCAGTTCAGTTGTCAGCCTTCACAGAAGTAACTAACTCACCAATACAGATAGAGGGTGATGTCCATTTTCCTCCTTCACACTGGATTTCCTCAGATCCTCTCCTTCCCAAGGTACACTGTACAATAACTTTGTCTCCATTACGAAATGTTCTTCTGGCTGTGCTGGAATGGCCATGAGGGAGTGGTGGTGGAGGACATTTATTTTTTACATCTGAAAATAAAAAAATGCATATTGTTTTCTGTCTTACCAAAACCATGTACACAATTAAGCTCACCGTGCACAATGCAAGCCTATCACTCAAAAGGCTTTTTTTGGCTAAGCCAGAGTAATTTCTTAATAAAATTTTCTTAATACAATGGGAGACCCAAACAAACAAGTGATTTTGCATTCCACAAATATAAAATAAAAGTAGTATGTCATTGTACTGCTATAAACAAATTTGTAATTTCTCCACAGAGACTTAAAAAAATCTCCTTTGTAGGACTCCAGGAAATAGAGATCTCCCATACCCTCCATTCATATACTATTTAAAGCAGATTATGTATTAATTCTAATGCTACAGAAGAAGCAATAACCATAGCCCATTTCCTATCTCCAAATTAAATTTGTGATTACTGTATCCTCAAAAGTAGATTTAGGCCTTGTTTTCGTCCTCCTGAGCATCTCCACCTTCTCTGCACTCACTCAAGAAAAGTTCCTGCTGTGTCATGAGAATAAACACAGGGTTGGAGTCTAAGCAGTAGTAAAGGTTGTTTTGTGCTGCTTCCTGCTCTGTTCTGTATCTCAACTGCTTCACCTTTCATTCTTTTGGAACTTGCTTTACTGAGACTCTCCATTATCCCCCAGTGACTGGGGAAGGGATAGCAATTTCTAAAGGTGTATTCCTGTCCTCAGGACAACCTTTTATTTAATCCGTTCAAAACAAGGAAAGTTTGGGGAGGTTGTACAACTCTGAAAAGTACCACAAGCTAAGGAGAACTTTGCTACAAATTTTATTTTTAATGCCTCTCAAGAGGTACCTCCCCATCCCACAAGGTAGGATTAAGAAGACCTGGTCAACACTTCATGTACTCTGAACAGTTTATTGAGCTTCAGGGTCTAAAAAATTCCCTGTAACTGCTGATTCCTGCTTCTCTGGGATATAACTTGGACAGTAAGAGACAGTATCTGTCCTGCTGTTAGAGTTCACGGAAATGTAGTTCCAATTACCATTGCTCCCCTTCCTGTTGCCTTGGCTCCCTGCCCTTTGACTAACACTTGATTTACATTTAGGTTACAAACTGTATTTTTATTTTGTATTCATAAAGCATTTCTTGAAAGAAGGTTCACACCTTCTTTTCTCTAAGAATTTGACCGAGTAAAACTATAAAAGCAGGGTACCTTCACACACTGGAGGGTCTGGATACCACCCAAAATTATAGCACTGAATTAAGTCAAATCCAGTGACAGAATAATGTTTGTCACAGAAAAAGTGAACTACATCTCCTTCTTCATAAGTTTTCTTCACAGGATAGAAACCTCCGTGAGCTACTTCACTCAAAGCGGAGCAAGTGATCCCTGGGAAGAAAACACAGCGGTGAAAGCAGCAGCAGCAGAAAGCAGCAGGTGATTTGTAGTGTCAGCGGAGGAGTTGCGGGGCTGGGGACGTACCGGCAGCGCTCCCGGGGGCTGTGCGCGGGCCCGGCTGGCAGCGCTCCCGCAGGGGCCCGTTGGGCCGCACCTCCCGCGCCGCCCGGCTCCAGCCGCGGCATCCCGCACGACTCTCAGGGAAAGAAAGCACAGGCGTGAGCACTGCATGCTCTTTGTGGGAGTGTTCCAAAGCTTCCCTTAGATACACCTCAACAGTGGCCAGATCCTGGGTAAAATGATGAATAACTACAAATGCAGCTGTTGGCACAGGTTTTCTGTTTGTCATTTGGAAAAGAAATCCATTCCCATACAAACTTTATTTGAAACAGCGTGATTTAATCTCTACTGATTCATTTTACATCTATCAATTTACATCTCTTGTCACAGACATGTTTTATGAAAAATCCTTTCCTTAGGATTTTTTTCTCCTGAGAAGCCGACAGGCCTCAGGAGCAAAATGTAACCAACGATTATCTGATTATCTGCTGCTGTGGAATGCAACAGGTGCATCTGGGATTGGTCTCATGTGCTTGTTTCTGATTAATGGCCAATCACAGTCAGTTAGCTCAGACTCTCTGTCCGAGACACAAACTATTGTTATTGTTCCATTCCTGTTCTACTCTTAGCTAGCCTTCTGATGAAATCCCTTCTTCTATTCTTTTAGTATGGTTTTAATATAATATATTTCATAAAATAATAAATCAAGCCTTCTGAAACATAGAGTCAACATTCTCGTCTCTTCCCTCATCCTGAGACCCCTGCAAACACCACCACAATCTATCATTTTACAGCTATCATTGACGTTTCTTTACAAATGCACAAAACCATGTGCATGTGAAACCTGACAAGTTTTTCCCCAGAGGTACAGCTGAGAACCTGCTTTAGGAGCACTCAACTGACAGCCTGTCATAGGCAGTCTGGCCCTACAGCAAGGACAGAGGAATTCTAGACTTCTGCAAGAGATTAGAAAGGAGAAAAATGCACAACACTACCAAGTGTGTTAGTACAGCTTGGCTGGGAGGACCATCCTTGTGGCTGACACTGCACTGTATCTTCAGCAGCACCACTTGGGGTGAGGTAGCCTGGATTACATTTGTATTGCAGTTTCTCATGGATTTTGAAGTCCATTTCTGTGCTGTAAAAAGAGCCATTTTCCAAAAGAGGCTTGGTGCATTTTCCTGAAGGATAGAAGACAGCTTGGTTAGAAAGAAAGAATGGAATAATTTTGTTTTCCTGCAAGCAAAAGAAGGGGTTTGTAGCTATACCGATCTAATCTGATTTTCTCAATTTAGTGAAGAAACTCTTCTCCAATCATCAAACTATATCTCAAACCACCACATGGAATACAGCCAAGGAATCTAGAGCTAGGGAGACTCAAGAAGTTATACATCTAAGGGAAAACTAATAGTTTTCCCAGACTAAGAAAACTGGAAAACTTTATGTTCTTATATGAAAATATAAATGGGTAAATACCCTTAAAATATGTATTGTTGTAAAAATATTCCATATATAAACCTATGTAGTCTTGACATAAATAATTGATTGCACCCTGTACATTTTATCCCTTCTGTTATGCAGCTTCTTTTCCTCCATGCCCCAGGAAAACCAGCCAGGAAATGCCCCTGCTGGCAGCAATGATGAACAAAGCTAACTCACTGTAGCATCGAGGCACTGGAGCCCATCCTTTTGCTGTACAAGTTATTCTTCCATCTTGAGTCCCACTTTCAGTTGTGTAACCAACCACACAAGAATAGGAGAGCTTTTTTCCTTTATGCATAGGGAAATAGTAATTTTTGAAACTGTAATAGTACTGGGGAAGGTTTCCATTTTCTATCTGTGGTAAATCACAAGGTGTATCTGTAAAAAGATCAATATGTTTTCCACTAAAAAATTCCAGCCCAGATATGAATGTTTTTGCATTAATTTATCTAATATCAGCTTGACTGATTCAGGCTTTCAAACAAGAACAAAATTCTGAATACTTACAAGCATGAAGGGCCTTTTGAGACCTGCTGAAATGAAGACATACTACAATTTTATCAGCTTTTATTCCTAGGGTTTCACAAGAATATCAGCTGTAGAATAAAACCTCCTAATGTGAACTGGAGCAAACTGATGCAGGACACCTTTATTTTACCCTGTTTTGCACAGAAGCACGAGAACCCTTTGCTGCACAAACTTGCCAATGCCTACTGTAAAATTCAGTGACAAGTGTCAGGATTAGCAGTGCCTCAGCTCCGTAATTCAGAAAATGCTACCAGAAAAGCAGGATAAGCTGCTAGGAGGCAATACAGGACTTAGGCTTGTTAAGAAAGGGAATTTAAGAACAGTCAAGAGAAAAGAAACAAGAAATGGAAATTAAGCAAATAACAAGCAGAATGGCAATTAAAAAAAACCCAAAACAACAATCCCCAGTAATAGAAGAAAACCTTTTTAAAGAGTAGTGCTGAATATGACATTAGGTTACTTAAAGAAACCCCAAAATAACAAACAAAAAAAATTACCCAAAAACAACCAAAAGAAATCAGTGCTGAAAACAGGGATAGAAAAATGCAGGACCACCCCACATTAACTTCTGCAGATTCCATTTAACTTCCACTATTTTGCTTTGTAACAAAGAGAAAAATACTTCAATCCCCAAGACACTTCAAGATATGAAATGTTTTAATAGTACAAAATTTCAAATAGTACATATTGTAAAACATTCCTAAAGAAATTTCTTCTGAACTAAAGGCTGAACATTTCAATATGACAGCTTTGAGGCTTAGACAGGAATCAGCCATGTCACAACAGAATTGTATTTAAATTTAAAAAACAGTGTTTACTCATTAAAGAGATGAAAGACATTGCACTTAAGTTACCAAGACTGCATATTCTAGATTCAATGTACAATAGAATTCAGTGTATTTACCTTCTGCAAAGAGTTTCCTTGAACACACCATAAGTAGGATGATAAAATAGCTTTTAAAGCTCATCTTTACTGTCTCCATCTAGTTTCCCCCAACTGTGAAAACTCCCTAAGTATTACTTTTGTAAATAATTAACTGAATTTTCAAAGGTATTCAACAGATGCCTTAATGTCTATGGTATTTTGTAACAAGTTAATTCACTGGAAAAACTATTTTCAACTATTTTCATCTGTATTAGTTCTCCAAATAACTTGGCACCAGACTGGCAGGATTCTACTTCCATTTGACACACTTTGCCACCTGTAATTTATCATTTTACAGTGAAATCAGGCAAAGAGCTTATGGAACAATTTCAGCTTGCTGATTACTGTTCCCCTCACAGAGTCCCAAGTTTAAAGGGCATTCTGTTATCAGATTATTTACCTTGGCTGAAATCAGAGGAAATAGACAATTCCCCCATCCTCCAGCCTAGCCCCTGAGTAAACCAGGCAGTTGCATGCTAGAGATGTTTATAATTTTGGAGTTTCTTACATGAACAACATAGCCACTATTATTATCTGAGTTGTGTTGAATACAGCAAGCCTCTTCCAAGTATTTTTTTTAAACAAAACAAAACAAATGAACCTAATTTACAGTAAACTCACTGACTAATAGCTATCAGTTGATTTAGCATCATTAGAGATCTAATGCTTAAATTTGGGAATAGGTGGGTATAATTTTACAGTTTGCATTATCTTGGCCTTTCTCTGAGAAAATGCAATTCTGAGAATGCAGAAGAGAACAGAATGAACAGGGATGCTGTGATGAACACAATCTCTTCAGCCAGAGGAGATGCATGCTTGTATGTATTGCTCACTTGATAGCAATAAAAAAAACTCATAGATCACTGCCCTTAAAATGTCAGGTCAGAATTTGTAAATTCACCCTTAGAACATAGCCTGTTGTTCCATCACTATCTTGCAATGTTTACAAAACAGAAATTGTATTTTCTTTTCTTGCTGCCATACATGATCCCTTCAAGACATTACTAAAGTGGATTCAAGCTCCCCAAAACTAGCCAGTTTTGAAATGCACAGCCCAAGCCTCCCTTTCTACACCTCTCTAGATCAGACATTACTGTCCCCCACAAAAAGCTGCTTTTAATAGAATTCTACAATATCTAATCAGATTGAAGAATCCTATGCTATTTTAATATTCACAATTGTGGGACAACAATATATTACTGCACCAGTGAAATTTCCAGTAAAATCCAGTTAATTGATTTTATTGTACAATTGCTTTTGATAGTAGTACAAAATAGGGTTTCAAAACTGTATGAAATACAAGAAGTTACCAAAATGTTAATGTTAATCTTAAAAAACATTTCCAATGGTAGTTTAACACTTATTTGCTTTTTTTAAAAAATCATTTATCCATTTACTACATACATATTGTACAAATATATCTTCCTATACATCATTTACATTTCAGTAGTAGGCAATACCAAGTGTGTCCATCACCATCACAATTGCTTGCAAAGGATCCACGACTTCTTGCATGTTATCTTTCCTCAAGACCCAGTCTGGTTTAATCCTGTGAAAAGATCAGTGGCATGCATTAAAATATTTCAGTGTCACAGCAGAAATAAAAGACCAATTTTTAAGCACTTACCTTGAAACTGTTTTTATTCTTAGAGGAGTTACTGGAACAGAGGAGCTCCCAGCTAAGGCATTGTTTGTTTTCTGCTTCACAAGTGTTCTCTCTGCATCCATCCTGTGTTTCCGAGCTGTGAGCTTATAGAGGCTCTGGATGCAAGGAACGGTTCTTGGCATGCCTCGGATTTCCTGAGGAAAGAAAGGGGACAACAGCACACAGTCAATACTGCAAGTTCAAAAGCAGCCTAAATCAAGAAAATATGAGTGTGTTCGTCATCTTGGAAATGCATTTTTTTTAACCAGATTTTAGTTAAAATTAATATTGCAGCCATAACAGGTATGGGAGAGAAAAAAAAAATTACAAACACCACCAAAACATGCAAGAAAAGTATGTTAAATTAAACCATTAAACCCAAAACATTTAGGTCTTACCAAAGCTCTTTTAGAGTCCTTTGAAAGGATGGCCAGCAAACAACAGGTCTTTGTGAAAATGCTTCCTCCCTTCTCTGAAACTTTGTCCCCAGCTTTGCCTCTGTACATTTGCAGTAGGTCTAGCAAAGTATCTATAGAATTTTCAGCTTCATAAACTGCTCGAGTAGTTCTTTCATACTGTTAAACAAGAAAGAGACAAGAGAGTTTCTACAGACAGATCTTTAAAGCATCCTTCATTTACAGATTACTTATCAAGAGGTTAGAGGAAAAAACAAAGCCCATATTCTCCCCTAGAATAAATTTGTAGCTGAACTGGGATCCAAGCAATACAAATCACTTCTGTATTTACACAGTTGTAACATTATAAAAAGGTGCCTTTTATGCTTCCTCCCTTGTTTAGAAACCCAAAGAATCTGATTCTATATTTATAATAAAGAAAAAAACTTAGAATAGTTTCAGAGAAATTTAAAAATATTTGTGATACCTTGCAATGCCTTAAGGCCATGAAATAATTTTTTCACCAAAAACCATCATATAACTATTACAAAGTCAATAAATAACTGGTTTCAAAACAACAGTGAAAAATCAGAACCTATTTTTATTCAAAACTACTACTTTTGTTGCTCTGGATTTATTGAGAAATTTTGTGGATAAACAAGTACTACAATAAAGTAGCCTACTGCTTATAAACCTGCAGAAGAAAAAATTCAAGTTACCTTTGAAACATTGAGCAGAACCTGAACTGAGTATCTGATCACATCCATGCACGGAACGCTCCGGTTGCAGCTTCGAATCAGAAGGAAAACACTGAAGATTGCTCTGCTCTGGGCCATATTTTCACAACACAGTGGGGACAGCCTGGTAGCCACCTCTAAAACAATTAAAGAAAAACAAATAGAGAAAAGAAAATTCTGAACTTCAAGCAAAAAAATTACAAATGAGGATTTTCTCTATTTTTAACCAAAAGTGCAAAGTAAAAACTGCAATTATTGATTTAAGAGTTTTTAAAGCAACAGTTTTAATATTCTAGACTAAACATTAAGAAGACAAAATGATCCACAGAGAACATATACTGACAGTAAAAATAATAATAAACTTATGTTAGGTATAGCACTACTAGGACTGACAGAAAATTTTAGAGCAATCATACAGGAGTTCCTTTCTCTACATAACCATTTAAATATTGTTCTTAAATCAATAATCTAATTTTAGTCTGGAAAACCCTCCATTATACCCTCTAACACTCACGTTTTATAATCATGCAGAAAGCCTAAGTATCATTATGAACTGTCCTCAGCTGAAAAAAAATCCAGTTTTTATCCTTTTGAAAATCCATGAGTTATAATAAAACAAAATACTGACCAAGATGCTTTAGTGCTGCAAGAATGTAGGAGAGATGTTTGTATTTTAGAAGGTGATCAATTGCAATTGCAGTTCTGTTGCCCAGTTTATTTTCTTCTCTGCTCTTTTCATTGGCCTTTATTAAACTGTGCCTTAAAGCTCTGGTTTTTGCTGTGTCAGTCATCTTTCTCCAAGAATATCCCCTCCATAATGCCTACAGAAAAGGAATTCCACAAAGAGAAAAAGTTGTAAAGGTTGTAAAGGAGAGACAAGACAACTGAACTTTATCACCAATACAAAAGTTTTACACAAGTCTGACAAAGTATTGAATGAACTTGGCTATTCAATTTTAAGTCATTAACACTCAGTGTTTATTTGTTTATCTTTTGTTACTGTTAGGTAGGACGTGACATACACACGTGATCAGGGTCTAAGAAGAAAAAAGTTTTTTATTCTGCGTGTTCTTTAGCTCATATACTCTTAACAAAGCTGATCTTCAGTTATTAACTACATCACAATAACTTATTATATTCATTGGTGCAAAGCAATTAACATCAATATAAACTGGTTAAAGTTTTACAGAAATTTAATAAGACACATATAAACATCTACTTATGCACGTAGTCTAGCTTTCAAAAATTTTCATGTATCTTTTCTAATCTGTTTCTATGCTGACCGCTTTGTCTTCTTTTTTGCTATGGATACACTCAAAAATCATCAATTGTTATTTTTTCTATTAACTCAGCTTTGCTTGCAGGCCAGCTGTAAAGCCCCTTTATACTTTTTATCTTCAAAAACTGGACTTTCAAGACGAAAGGCAAAAAAAATCCATGCATATTCAGTCCACACACACTCCCACCTAAGTCATCTCAACCATTACCTGCTCAGTATTCCTCCATGATCTGTTTGCCTTCAGCTTTCATGGCTAAACCACAGCTGACTTGGCTTGCAATTTCACTGATAAAGTCATCGACCAAGGCAAAGATCGTTCTTCTCCCCAAAAACCCATGAGAAAAAAACCTCAGCTAATAAAAATAACCAAACCCAAAGCTGTCATTTCCTCACAAGAGGTGCCTACCTGAAATTTAACAATTCCCATGGCGAGCCTCCTCCTGCGCTGGCGGGCGAGGAAGGCGCGGGCGTTTCTCTGGATGACGGAGGCGGCGTGGTGCCTGCGGCTCAGCCAGGCTCGCACGGCGCGCTGCAGCCGCACCACTCTGCCGCGCTCCCGCACAAACCGCCTGCGCTGCGCCTGCGCTCGGAACCAACTCTGCAGGAAACAAAAGCACCCTTCTGGTTATTGAGAACTCTTCCCCTAGGTTCCCTTTTCACACCCTAAACGAGCACTGACAAAAAGTGAGTGTTTGAACACGAGCTTTGATAGATACGGGCACTATAAACATCACCAGTCATAAATAACGTCCATGACATAAATAACGTCCATGACTCTGACTGGCCTTGGGTAGCTGATATGCAAGAATGCAGAACACAAGACTGGAGAATGAAATCTTAACTGGGAGCCACTAATTCACAGAATTCACAGAATGACCAGGTTGGAAGAGACCATCAAGATCATCGAGTCCAACCCATCCCCCAACACCTCAACTAAACCATGGCACTGAGTGCCACATCTGGTCTTGTTTTAAACACATCCAGGGATGGTGATTCCACCAC